GTTCTTTGTATAATGCATACTTAGTGTTTATTAAATTGAATTATTGTTAAAAGTTTATTGAATAAAATATTACAAATTAATTTAATGATAATATTATGGGAAATTCTTTAAATTCTAATTTAAAATTTGTACTTAGAAAAAGCATTAATATTTTAGTTTAATATTAATTTAAAATTTAGTGCTTTCGAAAAATTATTATACATAGAAAAATTATTAAATTTTACCATTTGTATTACAGTCAGAGAGCAAGAAAATTAGAGATTCTTCATAAAGGGACACACAATAGAAATTTAACATTTATAATGTTAATTCATAACACAATATTAATAATAAACATAATGTAATGTTAATTCAATAGAAATCTGAAAGATTTAATTAAATATAATATTTAATAAGTTGCTTTACATATTGTTAAAACTTAATAATTTTTTTTCATTTATCAAAAATTATTATGTTACTCGTATAATTTAAAAAAAATTTATAAAATTTTACACAACATTTTTGAATTTAAAATTAATTGGTATTAAAAACAATTACTTAAAATACTAGTAACTATTTATACTGTAATGTAATTATAAGATTTCATGAAAATTCAATTGTACGTACATACATAATTATATTTTTATAAAATGATTTAGTTTTTAATTGCATGTATGTATGTAATTTATATTAATATTATTTAATAAAAGTGCTTTATAATTTCAAATTTTTGGCATTTTTGTACACATTAAAATAATTAAAAATAAAAATTAAAATTATTATTATTAATTTGTTTACAACTTTTGGAAGATATTTTTTTTTTTACATTCAAATCAATATTGTTCATATTTAGTATAGCAAATTATTATATGGGTATTCACAGTTCAAGTATATTTTTTTAATATACCTATATATGTATATAATTGTATGTGTTTATATTTTAAAATTTATATTAATATGTAAAAATAATCATTAACAGTTGAACATTATTGAACATTTTTTACATTTATTATCAATGATTTTTTTAAATACAACAATAACCGATTCTGGGTTTATTAAACACTAATTGAACACAATGTTATATTAAGACTTAAAAATTATTATGATATATAAATAATATCGTAGTAAAAACATGGTTGAATTTTGCTACGAATTTATTTATACTATTTAAAAATTTTTTATAATTCACAATTCTTATAATAAATATAACTATGTACAAAAAGAAATATCAATAATTAAAATATTCGCTTTTAAGAAAAATAAAATCAAAGTATAATTTTCGTATTTAATATATGTAAGTATAATCGAACTGTTAATACGCAAATATAAAATTGCATTTTCCATTTTGCATATTTTTATTGTGTTATTGTTATTATTATTATTTATAAATATATATACTATATTTCTATTACAATGAAACTTATTAATAAAGTTTTATAAAGTTTTTCAAATTAATTTAAATTTATAAAGAAATTCATTTCAAATTTATACATACATAAATATAAAACATATTTTGTAAAGCGTTATCTGGAGCTAAGAACCTCCAGATATCGCTTTACAAAATTAAAGTTTATTATAAAACGATTACGTTTGGGATTCCATATTGCTGAAAACACTGTTTTTAATAGTAAATCAATTCAGAAATTTGAATTTTAAATGAATTCAGTAATTGTTTATTGCTAAGCTGACAATCGTTTTTGAAAAACATAATATTACATCAATTATTAAAATAAAAACAACTGTTCCGAGATTCTTTTATGGAACTAAAATAATAATCTTATAAAACTTGTCGTTAAACTAAAATATTTAAAATATTTGAGTGTAACAATATAGTCTTCAATATAATTCAACAATTTCTTCATGGACTTAGATAATAATATATTCTTATTAAAAATTATTAATGATTTAAACTTCCTTAAACATAAATCAATAATGAATTAATTGACTTTATGTGAAAATAAATATTCGTACAAAATAATACGAATTATATAAAAATTTATTGGAAATTATTTGTGTATGATGCAAAAATTTTATTTAGATTCATATTATTATTTAGTTAACATTAGTATGAAGCGTTATCAAAAAATATTTATTAATTACTGAACACCCACAATCAGTACACAGCAAGGTCTTATACATATATTCATATATACATCCACATAATATTTATATATGTCCGTATATGTTATTTAACACATGGTTAAAATTTCATAAAATATTTTATAATTTTTCAGTAAATAAAATATTTTCTAATTAAATTTATGTGGTTAGAAAAAAAATTTGAAAAATATTGAATAAATTAAAAAAAAAAATGTATTTTACATCCTAAAAAAAACCACCCAGAAAACAACAGAAATATTCAATAAAATAAATCAAATTTTATTTAAAAATTTGTCTAGGAATAGCAGGGGCGTGTGCAGTCATACAGGATGTCGATGATATATAAAAGCATTTATTGGAAAAAATTACTGAAGATTGCAAATAATTTTCTTTTGATTTACCGCCTAAATTTATATAAAATTTTTACAATTTGCTAGAGGCTACTGCATTTATGGAAGTTTTACTACAAGCATAAATTTTAATTTTTCTTCTTAAGACAATAAATAAAACACAAAAAAATATCCAAAAAATAAAAACAGTTCAATTTCATATTACTCTGCATTTAATTTGGGAGTGAACCAAATTGAATTTCAAATCTTGCTATACGTATTTTACTATGACACGCCACTGCAAAATTAGTAACATAGATTTTAATCTGATAGAACAGCGGATGTTTTAATTATATTTTAATTCCGTATCCTAATTATTTTTTTTTCCAAATTAATTATACTACAATTTCAAATATTTGAATATCATAAAACAAATTATTTAAAGAATTAAATTATTTTAACTAGAACTATAAATATAATAATAGGAAACAGACTATGCACAATATTGAAAAAATTCTTATCATATTGAAAATTGGTATTTACATAAATTGTGCTACTATATAAGTACGAGTACATAGATAAAAAATTAATATTTACACAAATTTACTATAAACAGGTGAAAATAAATTTAAAAATAATATTAAATTTGTACAGAATTATTTTTATGTAGAAAAGCATGATCCTATTATAAATAATATAATATGTATATGTGTATTACAAATGCATATTATATGTATATATTTATGTTTGATTTTAAACCGCAAATACAATACACTGGTATGTTTTCCACTATAATAAAAATTTGTTATCCTACAGAAAAAAAAAAACAATTATAATTTGAAAATATAAATGAAAAAATAAGGAAAACATTGAAAATAAATTATTGTAGGAACCTATACATATAAATATCATTAAAACAATAACCAATTTATTTCAACGGTGGTCAAATTAACATCGCCTTATTATCAGATAAAAGAATGAATAGGTGCACTATTGGACATATGAATTTTTTTTTTACAATAGTTTTTAGAATAAAATTCTTATAAATAGAAAAATCTACTGGAAATATTTTAAAATTAATAATGATAATCGGAATTGTTATATTTAAGTATTCTGATCGAAATTAATTGATTAAATTAATTGATTTCATTTGCAAACTCAGCAACAACTGTATCCCACGTTTTAATGTGCATATAATATAAAAAATACGTATATAACAACTATGTTTTAAAAATTTATTGCTTTAAGAAGGGAAACCGAAATTGATAACTTCTATTTTCTTTTACACTGAGTAAACTTGCAATTGTTGTGTTACTATTGTGGATGGTCATTATAACGAGGATGATAATTATATTGAGAGCCTACTACTTCTTGAGTTTCTTATGGTTGTAATCCCATGCCTCCTAAACTACCTAAAACCGTCAAAGCATAATTACATAATGTTAAGTTTATTTATATTTGTACCTATATGTGTACATATATATAAATATAACCATATTATAGAAATTTTTCCTTACCTATTAATTGGTTTAGACTGAATAAAATTCGAAGGTTTGACTTATCTTGGAAAGAATAAAAATGATAATAAATTTACGATAACAACATTTTGATTAAAAAATTTGTTTATGCAAATTGTATATATGTATCTAGTACATACATATATGTACATAGAGGTGTATATATAATAAAATATATGTATATATGTATATGCGATTTATGCAGTAATACAGCATTTTCACCAATTCTACTATTTACATACATATGTACCCATGTTCTGATTTGATCTCAGTTCTAAAAATTAAATATCAAAATTTAATTTTTCATACAAATATATTTATACTTTTGTATAAGCATTGCATACATACAACATTAAATTATTTAGATTAAAATGTTATTTTAAAATTCAAATACGTATGTAGTTTAAAATCTGATTTGGTTTGTCATATTGTGTTTTTAGTAAAATATTTTCGTTCTATTTTTTTGTTCTTTTGATTCTAAATCCTGACATACGAATTTTAAATATTGTAATATGTAAAAATCACTAATGTTATTCCTCCAAAAATAACCAATTAATATTAGTTAGCTAAATTGTTAAATATTTTGTTTTTTTATTTATAATTTTATTTATATATTCCACATAATATTATTATTGTATTCAATACAAATTTACCATTATTACCAAATTTGGTAACAACGCTAGGATATATTGTATAAAATAACATAATACAAATTTAATTTGAGTTTTTTGGTTTGCTATACAAAATATATGGTTGAAATTTTGAAAAGCAAAACAATAATATAAATATATGTACATATGTATATATATGTAAGCCCAATAAATATTACATTTTACATATGTATGCATTTAGGTTTAAACATAATATAATATCATCTATATAAATTGTATGTATGTTTATGCAAATTGAAATGAATTTCATTATAATAACATAATTTTTTCAAATATAATAGTAAAATTTTTGAAATGTAATGAGAATTTGCATTTGATTGATTGAAAAAACCATTATATAATAATTTAAAAAAAAATTATATTTTTAAATTTTATTATAATGCTTAGATTTTGTAATAAAAATTCAATTTTCTGATGCAGTGTTTCGAATTTAACCGCTTAAAGTCAATGAACAGATGATTATAGAAAAATTTAAAGAAATTTGTTGTAGATTTTATAGAAAAAACAAATTTCTGGAAACTAAATTTAAAAAACTCCAATAGATAATGTTTGATGTCCTATCCAATTTTACTGAATTCATATCAAATTTTAATATTAAAAAATCGAATTTAATTCTTATATGAAAGCTTATATAATTAAATCCGTACAACACACTGTTGTCCTTGAAATTTTCAAAATTTTTTACGATTTTTTGAGAGAATTTGCGTGTCTTGATTTTATCCTTGGAATAAATTACATTCTTTTGATGACAAGGTTCAATCATTTCATATTTATATTTTAATAATCATTGAAACCATTTAAAAATATGTACTTCTGCCATATGGCGACGCTTCTTTTGCGAATTTGTGTGTTATTTCTATATTTACCAAGCCAATTATATTAGCAATTAATCGTTTAAAATCCATAATTCTACTTCAATTATTTACTTGGAAATTTTGACAAAACACTATTTGTTTCTCGGTACACAATTAAATTTGAAACACTGTTTATCTGTTATAATATGAATTATAAAATATTATTATAAATTATTATTCTTACTATTCATATAATTATTAATATTTCAATTTTAATATTATTGGTTCTCTCCTTGTTTTTATATTGGCTCTTTGTTCCTTCAAAATGTTATTCATAAAGCCTGAATAATATATATATAATTTATAATTATATAATTATATTATATTCCTGGATATATTTCATTATTATGATTCATCATAATTTTTGATTGTATTGTACTTTTTCTTTAATTTATATATATATAAATATTTATTATAATATTTATTTTTGACAAGCAAATGTTTTAATTTTTTCTTCATATTATTTGGCGGCCTGATTTCCATAATAATTAAATCCTATATTAACTGCTAATAACTTATCGATAATGATCCCATTTGTCCTATACAACGTCCTTCATCATCAAATGTTGCTAATGTTAAACGTGATAATTTATTACATAATACACCATTACCATTATTTTGAATTGGATTTGGTTCTGAAAAAATATTAAAATTTAATAAGTATTATAAGTAGACAATAATTAATTTAACAACATATTATTACTTGAAGTCTAAAAATATCGATAGAATTCGATATCAATACAAATGAATTTGCTAACGAGGTAAATAAAATTTAGTTTAAGATTCTTTTTCCTATGATATATAAGCCTTGCATTAGATAATTTGGTTTGAACCAATTTTTTGCAAATCAAGAGAATGTCACACATATTAATAAGTTCATGTTTACTTTGTCATGCTTTTGTGAATATATATTTATAAAATATCGCGAGATTCCTCAATTTTTTTTTAAAGAAGCAAAAAATATTTTATTTCTCACAAAAATTTTTTTATCTGAAAATTGCATAAATCTAGACGTTTCATATAAAATTTTCATCTGTAGATAAATGCGTGGTAAAATTTTCTTTATTTTATACTTAACCCCATATAATTTTGTTGAAAACATAATAACACTTCTAAATATACATACATGTTATATTATGACGTGTACGTTATTAAGTATATGTATGTGAATAAGATCCATTTAAATAATATATGCAAAAATTACTACTGAAGGTAAAGATTGCTAAAATTTTTCAATATTTCATTCAAATCCATCAATATTTTTTCCTCCCCCATATTTTTCAACATCAATTTTAAACCATATAAAATGCATTTATTAAAAGTGGTTCATACCTAATCCTTTCGATTTTTTATACCTATATTATATGTATAACTACGTATCCACACATTCACGTAAAAACATATTTTATATAAGTAATGTGTGTATTATTAGTAGCTGTATACCAGGAGCGTATCTTTTCAATTTTAATCAACTAAAGTTTCGGATGATCAGAAACACTTTAAAAAAATTTTCTTTTTTTTTTTTGTGTTTTGGTTTTTTTGTTACGTTAAAATATAATTTAATGAATTTTTCATTTTTAAATTTTACATCAAGGACACATACATATAAGAATATATTTTTATGGTTCTTCCATAATACAGACATATTCGAAATAAAATTGGAAAAGCCGCATCAATTTTATTTTAGTGTACATGAACGTATAAAGTACATTCCTGGCAAAATTACCTTGACTATAAATTTTCATATTTTTCAGGTATATACTCGTAGGTATAAATATACACGTACACTTAATACGTTGATGCTCTTTATGCACATGAATTGAAAATGTTAAAAAAATATTTTGTACCTCTATATTATTATACTTGTACGTATGTATGTATGCACATGTAAAATTTTATTTTAATTAGTTTGATATTATTACTCCTCTCTTTCTTTTTCTTTTTTGGATCAAGGACATAATCACATTCAGATTCATATGCCATTAGTGATGGCATACAGTTGATAAATTTATATAGAAAAATATTTATTTTGAATTTTCATTTTGATTTTCCATTAAGCAATATTGTCTAAAATTATTTGAAGATTTTTTAAGATGAAATCGAAAACAAAAACAATATGACGAACAAATTTATGTATGGGTATTCGAATTTGTTGACTAAAAGCAAAATGTACTTGTCATTTTGATATTTTAAGAGTCATATAAAAAATTCCTTGTGATGTAATATTTTATTTTGTAAAAAATCTCAACCCTACAGTTACGGAAGCCAGTTTGATTCAGGTAAGGGACAATGAGGGTTTCATGTTGCAAACATAATCTTTAATTATAACGTATTTATGCTGTAAAAAATCTAAATTTTGAAATTGGTAAATAAGAATTTTCTTCTTCACGGTTATTCCCTAAAATATCTTTACGTAGTTGCAAGGTTTTCTTTAAAAATTTTAAAATTTTAACCATTAAACTTATGGTAATATATAATTGTCGACAAACAGATTTTTTCATACAAATTTTTTGCGATATGGAAACATGGGAAGAATTATGGAAAAATATTTTTTAAAATATTGTGTACACTGCAGATTTTACGAACAAAATCAACTAAAGTTGGAACAAATCAATGATTTGTAAAGAATCCCTTGAACAAGTGAAATACTGCTTTCAATCACAATCTGCGATGCATTATTTAAATTATTTCAATATTATTCATGAAAATTATATCTGTTAATTGCATACATTTAGGATGAACAAAACAAAAAAACTGAAAGAAACGTTTAATGTATTGTTTGAATTAAACGCTAAGTTTGTGAGTCAAGGCAAATAATTATACTTTTTGATAGTTTAGCATTTACCGTTATTCCCTCAAAATTTAAATTTTACGAATTTTGAGAGTAAACTTGAGTAATTGCAATTAAAATTAATACCATTTTCAGGACGGACTATACAGGATGAGAGATAGAAATATAAATTTGGTTTTATTAAAATAAATTTAAAATGTCTTGACTTTTATAATTCATATAAGAATCATTTCCCTTAAAAAAGTCAATTAAAGCATAAGACAAGCAATGATTTTCTGATTTTTTTTTTATAATTTATATTTTCTTATCTAAACCACTACCATTATCAATCACAATCTGCGATGCATTATTTAAATTATTTCAATATTATTCATGAAAATTATATCTGTTAATTGCATACATTTAGGATGAACAAAACAAAAAAACTGAAAGAAACGTTTAATGTATTGTTTGAATTAAACGCTAAGTTTTTGAGTCAAGGCAAATAATTATACTTTTTGATAGTTTAGCATTTACCGTTATTCCCTCAAAATTTAAATTTTACGAATTTTGAGAGTAAACTTGAGTAATTGCAATTAAAATTAATACCATTTTCAGGACGGACTATACAGGATGAGAGATAGAAATATAAATTTGGTTTTATTAAAATAAATTTAAAATGTCTTGACTTTTATAATTCATATAAGAATCATTTCCCTTAAAAAAGTCAATTAAAGCATAAGGCAAGCAATGATTTTCTGATTTTTTTTTTATAATTTATATTTTCTTATCTAAACCACTACCATTTGATTTAATATAACACGGTAGGGCAAATACTTTTTCGATTTCCTGTTTCTTTATTTTTTATTATTTTTAACAAGGGATTTTAAGTGCACGTGCTTTTATATTTTAATGATTTTATTTTAAATTTATTTTTATATATTTTTGTTTTTCTTCATTTTAACATGTTCTGTTTACTATACAAGGATTAGTTTTGATGTAGCTTTTTGAAGACAACGTCATTTTCATGTACCTTTATACATTTATTATATGCATAATTCATATACAATTCCCTTGTATAACAAAAGAAAAATTTTGTATTTTCTTTATTCTTAGTATAAGTAAATGGGCGCTTTTTGTATAAATTCATTTCTGAGTTCAAGCTGAGGAAGAAGTTGTATATATGTAATTCTAATGTTTCAATATTTTTATCTTATGAAAATCCAGAATGAAATAAATATTATTTTAGGTTACTTTATGAATTTTTTTATTCTAAAACAGAAACATTATTCAATTGCCTTGAGGATCTTTTACTTTTAATATGATATCAAAAGGGAAAACAAAAATTTATTTAGTAAAAGTAAATGATTTAAGATGTTGAACAATTTAAAAGTAAATTGTGAATTTATTTTGAGCTTTATTCGTAAACTATTTATATTTTGCCATACATGTATAATGCTTTTTAAAAGAAGTTAAGTATTTCTTAAAAATGAATATGAATTTATTGAAAATTTAAACTACTGAAAATATTAAATTCTAGGGTTCAAAATCGTAACATCTAGGGATGTATATCAAATATAGTACGCGTGTTTAAAATTGGTATGTACTATATAATAGTACACTTTTTATACAAAAGAACACATATAGTATAAGCATATAGCTTGGATATAATTAAACCAGTTAATTAATCTTCTATTATGGACTATTAACAGTAATAAAATTATTTGAATAGAAATAATAATTTTGAATTGATCCAATAAAAATTTTTGGATTTAAGATATAAGATTAGATGAATCAAATAGGCAATCATATTATAGAAATCCCAGTCATAAAATATAAAATTAAATACACTTATAAAATCTTTCGTAATCGACAAAGTTAAAATTATATTGTTAAAATTTCAATGATTTTGTTTATAATGTATAATATGACTGACATTTTCAGAGAAACCTATATGATACACGTATTAAAAAAAAATTATTAATTTGATATTATTAATATTTAGCTCAAATAGCCGAGTATGCAATACAAAAAAGAGCACAATGTCGATTAGAATAGTATCCTATAGTTTCAAATTCAAAAACATTCCAATCAATAAATAACCAAATTGAATTTAAGTGAAAAAAGTAATTCTATAGTCAAAAATAATTTTAAAAATTAGTAAGATACAAAATAAATTGAGCTTTCTTTTATTGAAAAGGTATATGAAGGTGAAATATTATACCCATACATATATTATGAATCAATAAATAAATAAATTAATGGTCAAATTAAATTTTATCACTTTGATGTAAAATACCAATAATGAATAACACATTACATAATAATGCTATATGTCATGTCATTTGACACTATAAATTTAATTGTGCTCTTTATTTTGCATTTTCAATGTGACTTGCTTAAAAATTAGTAATAATGCATAATAATATATGTAAGTATGTTTAATAAATTATTAGTATAGAAATTACTAAAATAATAAAAAGGATATCAAAATATGGATGTCCCAATTATAATATACTATATAGCACCACATACATGTATACGTTTCTCATTATTTCACATAGATAATAATTTATAAAATTTAAGTATAATTATATTCTATACTCGCTATAGACACATACATACCATATTATGTCATTATTTTATTATATTAGTTTGAGAAAATTGACACATTTAATTAATTTATAAAATAAATTTTGAAATGATGAAATGCCCATAATAATTAAACATAACAATATTAATAAAAGTTGCAAAATGAAATATTAAATATTATTTTCAATTAATTAAAAAAAGTTCAGTAGAAAAATAATCTTTGATTGAAGAATTTTAAATTTAATCATAAAATTTAAATTGTATCTAGACATTTGGTTGCTATAGACAACAAATTTAACAAGCACTTTAAACATACATACATAGGTACATATGGTGATAAAGAGGGATAGAAATTGAAGTCGCCTAACATGTTTGAATTTATGGCTGAAAATTTCTATTTTTGGAATTTAAAAACTTCTTTTTTATCAAAAATCCTGTCCTTTTATTAAAATATGAAAATAATTTTAAAAAATAATTTAGGACCTGATAAGTGGCAAACAAACATGTAAATTTGAAATGTTATTCTCATTAAAAATGCAATACAACAAATACGACTGAGGCACTCATTTACATCTTCATAAACGAAAAACTTTGAAATCACAATTTAACAAAAATTACTTACCATCGTGCACATGTTCACCTGGCTGTCCATCAGCTGCTTCTCTTCTTCGTCTCATTTGATCAGCGAAATGAGCTATTAAGGCATCCATCATTGCGGCTTGACGCGAAAATATTTGCATTAATTTCGATACAGGGATTCCATTTTCCACAGCATCAAACTAAATTTTTCCATATAAATGAAAATAGAAAACAAAAACGTATTTTTTATTAAAAAAATTTTCATTTGTATAATCATAATTAAAATAATTATTGCTGGAAGGAAAATATTGCAAAATAAACCTGAAAGAAATTTTTCATCTTTATTAACATGCATCTCAAAAAAAGCCTAAGATTCTATCAACTGAATTTATTTTTATAATTAAATTTTTATAAAATTTTGACTTTGTTTTTGAATAGAAATTGGAAAAATGTATACAATTATTATCCGCTTTCCAAGTTTGATATATGGATTTGAAAAGGAAGGAAAATATTTATTACATTCTGTGATAACTGGAACCTATGACTACTTATATGAAAATTTAGCAAATCAGAATCTTTAAAATTAAGAATTAAATTATCTAAGGCGTAAATTCAAATTATTCAAAATTGTGAATACCGCATTTTAATTAAACTCAGTGCAATTCCTATTCAGTTTCATGTTTCAAATCAAATTGTATTGAATAAGCGAAGGGCTATTATATATTAAACTGATTGAATCTTTCAGATCAAAATAACTTTATAATATTATTTGAATTTTTGTAATATAGCACGAAATTTGTAATTCAAAGAAATCATCTATTTGATTAAAATAATTTGCAAATTTTTCTTCAAAGTTCAGTCAAATAAATTATAAATTTTAGAGTAATATGTAATTTTAAATTTCAAAAAGCACCATTCTAGAACTTTATAAATTTTAATTTTGAATGAATTTCTTAATTTCAGATGGATAGAAAATGGAAATCACACAATTTTACTCTATGTTCATAAATCATAATGAATTTTGGAAAAATTAACATTTTTCTTAAAATTTTTTATTCTATAAAGGTGTACCCATAAATTTGCATTTAGAAAATTTAAAAAAAAACTATGAAATGATTTTTCTCTCAGTCCATTTTATGTAAAACAAGGAAAAATTTTACTATTGTTTCATGATTTCCATTTTCCATTTTCATTATTGAAATCTAGTTTTCTTTTACAAGTATCCACATAATATATAAAGTCATCTAGAGAGAATGTTAAATCAAAAATCTGAATATTTTTTTGTTGAAAATTATTAGTGACATTTTTCATATTAAAAAGAAAATTTTGTAAAATAGTTTTTAAAAATGAATGGAATATGCTTAAATTGTATATAAGAAAACGTCTATTAAATACAGAAAAAACGGTAATGAAAACATGAATTTTAAATGAAAATTTACGATAAAAAAAATTTTATCTGAAATCTTACGAATATTTAACAGATTAAAGTAAAATTTGATTCTAGAATTAAGGGGTTTTCCGTAATTTGTTATAATACAGTGTTATATAATTGTACAGAGTACAGGGTGGCTCTGACAGAATGAAATAGAGAAGAAATATTTGTTTAAATAATTCACAATCAAGATAGTTCACAATCAAATGATTCATGTTAAAGAAATTTTTTTTAGAATTTTCACTTACAAACATTTTCTGTGTAACTTTAGAAATAAGAAGTTGACAAAAAGTTCAAAGAAAATATTTTTCTGAAAATCGAACATTTTGAATAATCCTGTTTATATTATAGGTCGTCACAATTTGCAATAAAAAGTTGAAATGTGATTGAAGCTTTGGAAAAAAGATCAATTTTATACTATATACGGGAATTAAAAAGTAGGATTTCTTAGCAAATAATTTTTTGCATCTACGTTATTCGGATTTGTTGTCTGAACAAGAAATATTTTGGGATGAAAATATTTGAAAATATTAAGTATTCATTTCAATTCCAGTTCAAGCAATTGAAGAAGTTCAAAATAAGTCAAATTGATTTGCTTTTAAATCAATAGTGTGTCAAATATTGGTTCCATTTAAAAAGAGACCAAATTAAATTACCAATTGGCTAGTAATTAGGAAGCGGTATTTATAGAAATTATTTTTATTAATGCTTACCTGAAGAAATATACAAGTTTGGCAATCAGGATCATCACTAGAACTTGGTTTTGCATAATCCCACGATAAATCTTCATATCTTAATCCTAACAGCAACGTCTTTAAAAAATACATATAAAAAAAGTTTTATAAATCACTTCTTAGCCTAATTATGTAACAATAATTTAAAATATAACCTTTCTGGTTAAAATTTTATTTAACAAAATTTAACTTTTTTAAAAATTTTTACTTACACATTCTACAGGTTCTATAACAAAAACACCACGTTCATTAATGGCTACTATTACTGAAATATCTTTGTGATTAACTAAACTCATAAGACCCCGAACTGGTTGTTCTACTTGGCCGTGAAAAAACGCCGCACTAAAAGAAAATTATAAAATATTTGTAATAAATTTTCGAAAAATTCAGAATTTTTTTTTCAAAAATTAATGTCAAAAACCTTGTTGTCTTAATAAAATTTATTATTTTGTTTTAAGAAATTCTTATTTAAAATTATAAATTTAAATAAATATCACAAAGTAATGATTTCAAATTTAAACCTGCTAGGCAAAACTTAAAATTTTCAAGTCCTCATTTCTCTTTTGTAATATAAATATATGAAATAATTGATGAATAATTTCTATTACTTACCCATAAAATGGCAGCGCCCAACAAAATTCTAAGTATTTTCTCATTAATTTTCTAGTTGTTGTCGTTTGTGGTACCCGTTTAAATTGTTCTAAAAGTTTAACTTCAGCTGAATTTTTTCTACTAAGCGGGAACCACGACCAACTTGAATTTTTGGCAACATGTTGTGGTAAAAACCTTGATTGATTTTCTCTACAAATGTTATATTTCACATTTTATGCAAATTCTTCAAACAAAATATGTAATTTTTTATTAATTTAAGTCGTTACCTAAAATAACTGTTTGTATGCGTGTGTGAATTATAAGGACCTAATTCAATTCTAGCTTGTATACCCCCTAACATTATTGAATGCACCGGTTCCATGATATATCGTCCTTCTAAAACATTATGTTTTGCTTCTTCATATAAAAGTTCTATTATCCTATGATCTCTGTAAAATTATTTATTAAAGAAAAATATTGTTAATTGCTAGTATTAGTAAATTGCTTAAAATTCAGTACAATATACTTGAGTTTACAAAAACCTGTTAGCTCTGAATGAAAGTTTTTAACAGAAATTTCATAAGATAAAAACAATTTTACACTTACTTAATTTTTTCTTCATCTTTTTTCGAAAAGAAAACATTCCTTTTTAATACTATCATCGGTTCATCGAAACGTTTTTCAATTGGATTACCATGACTAAATTTTTCTAGAAGATGTGGCCACGCTACTCTAACTACATAAGGTCGATGATGCGATTTCAATTGAATTTCTAAAAGTGCACTCGTCATCCATAAACCGAAAATACTTTGTGCTAATAATTTATTTGCTATTCCTAATTCTTCACAGCCCAAAGCAGCAGCTAGCATCACTTGTGCCGGACACTGTGCTGTTCCTTCAATTTCCATATGTACAGCAATACGTGACATTAAATACACGCATGTAGGTATCACCTTTAAAAAGTTAAATACAATTTAACATATATAGAGTAAATAAAAATATTATATAAATCTATAACCATCATACATGTGCACATATATGTATTAAGTTCATGTAATGTAATAATTTATATGTGTGTGTGCGTAACTTTAGCTAGAGATAACAGATAAAAAATTGGGAAATTTTTTTATTATTTTCTTCATTTGCTTTGTTTTTATTCAAATAAACAAAAAATCATGATTCCAAAAATAAAATACAAAACTAAAATCTCCAAAGGACTCAATTTTTATATTGTATCTCTTAGATATATAAGGATTAAAAATATATAATGTGTATACCCACATTCACATAAATACATGAATAATAAATATCTAAAAATAATCTGATAAACTAAAAACAAAAATAAAAATAAAACTAGAAAAAGAAAAACTTACATTTTGTAGAGGCCTTGGTATCGATGTTGACGATTTAGCACCACTAGAATAATTCGAAGACGTCGAGGCGGTCGAACTATTATAATTATTTGATAAATTTGATGAAGGTTGAACGTCCTGATTACAAGATGTAGATGGTTGTTGTTGTTGTTGTTGTTGCTGCTGTTGCTGCTGATAATTTGAATTTGTACTAATGCCTGTTATAAGAAAAAAAAATAAAATGATAGTATAGATTAGAAAAGAGAAGGGCAGGCAGAAAACAAAAAAAAATTCAATTAATTACATTTTGCTTTTGTTCAAAAACAAAGCAGGAAAATGAGGACAAAGAAATCCTAAATTTTCTGTAATCGAAATTTATTTTGTAATTTTCTTAAAGTTCTTGGATACATTTTTCTTTTTTTATTATTATTATTATTATTATTATTATTGTTCTTTTCAAAGATTTTGTAACAATGGTAACCAATTAAAGTTGAATAATTTTTCTTAAGCTATAAGCATTTCAATTAAGAGAATACAAAGGGGAGTAGTCGAACAGAAATAAGTAGAAATGGAAAAAGGACAAAAAGGGAAAAAGTTAACCTAAAAATGAAAAAAAAAATTGTTCATAAAAAAAATTTTTAATAGGAATAATGTTTTCCGTTTGAAGAATAGCAGTAAACGACTTTTACATGAGCACTACTTTTTTCAAAGAGGTTTCTTTTTGATACGATTATATATTTTCTCACAAGGGTACATAATTTAAATTTAAAAAAAGAAGTAAAAAGGATTTCTTAAAATTCGAACTCGAAAAAGTGAGGCTTAGTCTAAATTGAATTCAATAATTAATGCTATAAAAATATTGTTAACTTAAAAAATATTTGGAAATCTTAAATGCAATTGATTAAAAATTTTTTTGAAAAAATTAATGGAACTAGCTGAAAAAATTTTTAAAAAAATATGAAAAAATTAAAAAATTTTCAGAAATTTCCCATAATGTAGCAGTCACAAGTTAAACTAAGTAATATTTGATATTACATTGTGTTGTAAAAATCGGCGCGACCGCATTTCTTCTCTGTTTTGTGAAATAACACTCTTTTCATATCATTTTGTTTTGATTTACTAAGAGACTACAAATCATTCAGAGTTTTTAAGTTTTTCTCTCTAATGAATAAAATTTACTTTGAATTTGCCATATTTGTGAAACTTAAGGGTTCACAAATTGAAATTGAGATTTGCGAAGTGACTTGCTGAATACAGCAAAAATATTTTATAAAAATTTGCTTCAAATTTATATTTAAAAAAATTTTAATGAAATTTTAAGCAAATTTCTGGTTCCGCTGTGCATTTGCCACTCAATATTGAATTGAATTTTTAACCTTATTTATAATATTTTTAATTTTATGTAATCAAAATATTAAATGCTGCGATATTTCTCTATTGGTATACCCACACACCTCGTCTTGCAGCATCTTTTTATTAATTTTTTTTTGCAAACCAAACCGATTTTTCTCTCAATGATCGTCATAAATAACATGCTTTGCAATAATTCGCCAATTAATCATCTACATATTTAATAATTTTATTGTTATTTATTTTGTACTTGTCACATGTTTTACAATAATTGTTAAAGGTTCTCATAAAATTCTCATAAAATTTAAAAAACAAATAAAACAGAAAACAAAACACAAAATTACAAGGTTATTTTTGTTGTATCATAAAATGAGAAAATGAACTGACGTGTATACATGTTGACAGATTAAATGGTAGATAAAACAGGAATTGCACACTATTTTATCTTCTCTTGAAAAACTCACCTTTTTATTCCATGTATGTATAAACAAAAGAGCGACAAGAGAGAAAACACAAAAAACTCAAAGAAAACAAAAACAAAAGAAAAGGGAAAAAATCCTCAGAATTAAACAAAAATTCTACCGTAATGGACTTTAGAACAAAAGAATTTTTTATCCCACGTAATAATTAATTTAGTTAAATTACAAGCTTTATTCGAAACGAAATAAAAGCAGTTGAAGGTAAAAACAAATTTTTTTTTCCTTTTTTTTTTAATGATAAGTGTAACAATGAAAGGAATGTCAGACAACGGTTTCCATTTCTTCTTTTCATATTTTCTGTTTTTTTTTTGTGTTCTGTGAACATTTTCATCAAACAAAAACAAAAAAATTATTTTTGTTTTTCATGAAAAACATTTTAGCACACGTGTATATTTAGGGTGTGAGTTATAGCCCATCAAAAAAATTAAGTTCTACAATGGTACACATATAACATTTTTTTTTCCATTTTATTATTTTTTAAGAAAATTCTGAAGAAGAAAGTAAAAGAAATCAACAAAAATAAATAAATATAAGAGAAACAAATAAAAATGATTTAAGCTTTTCATGATTACATAAAAATAAACATAGTTACAAACACATATACAACCATTCGTATACGTATAACATATTATGTACATATTCATATACGTATAATTGTAAAATTTATTTATAATAAATAAATATAATATGAAATAGTAATTTAATGGTACGAAAATGGACGTGGACGTGGTAATTCCCAGATAAAATCTTTAAAAATAAATTTTCGTAAAAGATATGATGGGTGTTCTATGTATAACATTTAAACTTAAATAAATTTATATAACAAACAAAATAGGAAAGAATGTGACAAAGTGAGAAAGCAAAAATTCATGGATATTATATGCGTCGCGTGAATAAATTGAAGGGGCAAAAATAAAAAGCGTTTATAAAATTTAAAAGTTACAAGTATTGGATTTGTATTCGGCTTTAGAAAATCCTTCATTTTAGTTGTATATAAGATAGACTATAATAGGAAAAATTATAATGTAGAAAGTGTGTATACACTGCGATCTGTTCTTATCTGTTCTGAAATGATCTTCAGTTCGTTTAATGTAAGTGAATATTGTACTGGAAATGTCATATATCAGTAGAGTTTAATCAGTGTCACCACCATATCCATCACGTGTCTCTTTCGAATATTTGGTTCATATTCATAAAACTAAATATTCTTCTACTACTTTTATAGTAGCTCTCACTTTACAATATTTTTTAATAATTTGTAATAAAATTGTATGAGTACCTATAATTTGTGTAACTTATGAAATTAATCTTATCCTTTATCGAAAAATGTTGCTTTATTTTCACCGTATTTTTTGGTTTTCTCCTCTTTTTACTTGTAAAAAAATGGTCATCCTAGTGCATTTAAATAAATTTTCTATAATGAATTAACTTTAAGAGCATATTTAGGAAGCTTAATCTATTACAATGCAAAACAACATTGGATATATGCCCATGAGCTATGAGGGAATATCTTGAAAAAATACAAAATTTGATTTATCAAAAATAAATTGATTCGAATAAATTTCAAGAAAACTTAGGAGCTCATCTCATGAATGCAACTTTCAATATTTTTTTTAGTAGGAAATGGTAATTATTCATAAAACGAAAAAGAATTGTTTGTAGTGTTTAAGCTTTTCAAGGGATATACTTGCTCCATGGAATATTGTATCAATCTTGTCTTCTCTTATCATGTTCATATTTCAATAATTTCATATTACTTTTGACGTTAACACTTTGTCCCTCTCGATTTCCAAAGAGATACCGACTAATCAATCCGTCGTACCTCAGACCATACATTAACGGCTACTTTAAGATTATTTATAACAAATTTAAAAATTTATGTGCTTCCCGGATTGTGAGCTAAATGTGATAAAATTAATTTTATAAAATTCTTATAATTTATGTACATATATGCAGATTAATTAAGAAGGCAGTCGCATATCTCTATGAGAATCAACTAATTTTTGACTGTCTTATAGTCTCAATATGTAAAATATTGGTTGCTTTAGGATATTCAAAATTATGTCTCCCGATTATAATTCTTTTTTCTTTGTAAAAAATTTTAGGACAGGTTATGATAATTTATAGATAAAATACCCCTCATTATGCGATGTGCTTAAATAATCGTATAGGCTTTCATATATAAGATAAATACTTATATGTCATGATAGATATCAAATTGAGTTCATCAATGTCATATTTTCAAAAGGTGCTATCGAAGCCGGTATGTTTCTAAAGAATAATTTTCAATTAGATATCTTAATTAGATCATGTTTAATTTGAATAAATTTAATGGCTCCAATATCGTAAAATAAAGCATTTTCATATATAACTACTTATATATAATTGTATGAAATGCCTATAGTAAAAAGCCAATGGATATTATAAAACAAAACATTATTGATAATGGTATGCTAATGAAATTTTTTAAATATTTTAAATTGAATGGATATTCAAAATATTAAAAGCAAAACACTTTTCTCTTTTGCAGTGAAACTTGAATATTTAGCGATCTTAAGTAATTTTAACAAAATTATATTGCATATAATGTAATGTGTACAAGGTGATTTTAAATTAGTGCTCATAAATATTATTTGTAATTTTAAAAAGTTTCATTAATGGAATAAATAATTCTCTTTTCAATCATATGGTAAATATAGATCTGTTTATAACACCATGACATATCAAAAGGTCAGAAATCTGCAGGAAAAATACATTCATATAAAAAATAATTATAACTAAGCGTTTTTAGTCGGAAATTTTAGATGTTGGCAAGAATTACATACCAAAAGCTCACCTTTTTTTTAAAGTATTGCAATATTTTTGTTTAATTTTGAGATTCATTCCCGACCACCATTTTGGTTGCTTTTTAATAATTATAACTCTTCTGTTATAAGATAAAACACACGAAAAGAAGCCAGGACTCACACAATTCCAGAAAGAAACTGAAATCTGGGATTCAATTTTTGTAATGTTGTATGCGGAAGGTTCGAGAACACAATTATTTATTTAAACTATAAGAAACTTCGGAACATTAGAAGCGTATATTCTATATGAAATATAAAGCCTTGTTTACTTTTCATACAATATCGAATTGTATTACGACACTTTGTAAAAATATTTTAACCTAATTTTCTTTATATTTCATACAATAGTATCGATAAATAATTTAATATGGTACAATAGAGCTACACAATATGATACACAACAAAGGTACATCAAAAAGTGATTAAGAGCACACTCTGTTTCGTTAAAATTAGCACAAAAATATTCAATGTCAAATAATCTTTTAACTTTTATACTTAATACATATTATTGTAATTGTGATGTCTTCTCTATAAACCACTTAAGAGTATAAAGTAAAAAAGCCTCCCACTTCCTTTTCAACCAAAAACGAACAAAACAAAATTTAAATAGAAAAAAAAATCTTTTAAGTTTTTCTGTTGTTATTGTAAAATACAAAGGAAAAATGAGAATCCTCCGGCCTTGAACTTTTTTTTATTTTATTTTATATAAATACATAGTTGGTACCCTAATTGACTTTTATATAAAACCAAAAAAAAAATGAAAAAAAATAATAAGTTTTTTTTTATATTCAAAGCCGCCCCAAAATAGACCAATTCTCTGTTCCAACACAAAAAAAAAAGTAAAAGGAGAAAAAACTTCAATAAACAAAGAAGAAAACCTAAAAGAAAAGAAAAAAAGAAAGCAGGTAATTTTACAATAGTAAGAAAATAATATTACTATACATACATATGTACATCCATATGTATGTGTATTGTGTTTATAGAGATAACTGTAAATATTATAATATAATCTTAAATAAAAAGAATAAAAAAGAAATGTGGAACAATTTTCTTGGCAGTTTTCTTTGATTTTTGTTCTCTTTTTTTGTTGCTCCTTTTTTTTTGTTAAAATAAAAATTAAAAAACTTTCTCTAGGAAAAAATTTCTAAACACTATCAAAAAAACATATTAGAGAAAAAAAAAAACGGTATTTAAAAGAGCTGAAAAGAGAAAAAAATTGCTAAGCGGAATTTAAGAGATAAAATGAAAAAAATGTTAAAAACTTTTAAAAGTTTTCAATTTTTTTTTCTTTAGATGTTGTTGTTGCTCCTTTTTTCTTTTTTCGAATTAATTCAATAAAAATTGAAAACTTTTCTCAAAAACTTTTTTACTATTATGAATGTACGTAGGTACACTTTTAGTGTTTTCATATACGCTCTTTGTGTTTACATACAATAGTATGTGTACATATGTACTCGTAGTCACATATCATGTTACATTATGTAACATAATAAATTTATTTTATTTATGTATAAAATGTATGTTGGTATTAAGTATGGCGTATAACTCTAAGAACTAAAATCTGATAATGTAATAATGTTGTAACTCTTATAAATTAATTTAATATTACCAACTTTAGGTACATATAAGTTTGTATAACTATTATACTACACAGTGTTCCCACTCAATAAAAACAAAATGTATCCAATTTCGAGAAAAAAATGTATCCAAAATGTATCCAGCCTCCTAAAGTAGAATTATTATACTAAATCGTCTTATTTTATACCAATAAACTCGTAAATAATATTAGTTTGCTTTATTCAACAATGTGAGTTTCGTTATTTATAGTAAATTCTTTTAGAAATCACACGCAATTTCTATTACATTTTAAAATTTAAGGTCAGAAAATATATGTTCTGTAGCTGTTGAACTATGCGACAAAAACGATTCAGCATGAAAACGGGCAAATTTTGTTTAGTCAGCAAATAAAATTTTTTGGAAGATAAAGCACTTAAAAGTTACAGCACTTTAAAAGTTTTCTAACATTTATTTAGTGTTCGAGAAAGAAATGTATCCATATTTCAGCAAAATTTTAAAATGTAGCCAATTTCGACATTTTAGCAGATTTGAGTGTCTTTGTATCCAAGCTAAATTTTAAAGCAAAAATGTATCCAAATGGATACAATTGTATCCAAGTGGGAACGCTGATACTACATAAATGTGGGGTAACTGTCTATAACTACTATACTACATAAATGTGGGGTAAATGTGGGGTAACTACATAAATGTGGGGGGGATACGATTATAGGAACCCTTTACAATTTTGATACAACCTTTTGACATTTTGAATAACATTTAGTTGCTAGCATAGAATACATAGACACTTCTTGTTTTGCTTTTGGTGCGTTAACATTATAATTTTCTCTGTTTTAGTAAATGTTAAAGATGTAAATTATTAGATTCAAAATATTTTATGTATAAATAAAGCTTAATTATTATTAAAATTAAAGACTAAAATATAAAGTATTATTTTGGACAAAAAGGAACCCTCGAAACCTCCCACATACATAAATGCTATCAAAAATAAAATTATGGCGAAATATTTACAAAAGTATCAGCTTTGCAATTTAAAAAAAGAACAAATATGCCAAATTTTTAAAATTTAGTGAAATTGAAAGCAACACAACGAAGATGATTCGAAATTACTGGATGCTTATTCTCCTTTTAATTTAAAATAATTTTACTGAATTTTCATTTTATACAGGATTCTGTGATTTTAATTTCTTTATATTTTGTGTAGAAGGTAGTTCCATCACCTAACTAATTTTGTTATTAAGGAAAAGCATATCCCATATTATTTTCCTGCTCGGAAGCGGTAAAAAGCTTTTAATGTTGAAATGAATCGAATTTTAACAACAATTTAATTCTAATTTATGTTTTCTATGTTACTATATATCAGATCGGTTAGACAATATTGAAGACGCATATGTAACCTTTATTTATTTACATTTTATAAACTATTCTACACATTAAAGAATTGATCAACAAATTTTATTAAAATTTAAAATTTTTGTAGTTAAAAAGCTTTTCAGGAAAATTTGTGTACAGAAAGTGAAATCTTATTCAAAACCAAACCTTTATTTTTAAGGGTTAATTGTTAGTAGGTTAGAAATTTAAATATGACTAAATTTCTTAAAATTTCTAAACATTTTATAATTTTTGTACAACTCTATTAATTAAATAATAATAACAAATTCGTTGGGGCTTGTTAATATCAATCAGAAAACACGCAGTATAACGGGTATGCGCTGACCACATTAAATTCTTATTTTGTATAAAAACCTATGTTACCCAAAGACTACTTTTTTTTATAAAACTACTGATTAAGTTGCATATGCACAAAGGAATGCTCATCACAAAAAAAAAATCAGAATCCACTTTTAGGATGTTAACTAAACTTTTTTAATTCCTAATACAAAAGAGGAATTAAAATATATGAATCCCATATACGCGGATACGTAAAACTGCATAAAAGTTAATTTAATTTTTAAGTTCTTTCTCTCTTTTTGGCTTTTACTTTTACAAGCTTAAATGCACATACATACAATACCTAACAGAAAAAAACATGGAATATCAACAAAAACATTTAATGACTTTTTGTTCCAAAAGGAAACCACAAAAGTTAAATTTATGGAAAAGAATTCCATTTTTAAACCAATCTGCGTTTTCCATTTTATTTATTTATTTTATACTTATGACCTTGCAATTCTTTGTATTTGGTCATGTTTTATAACAAAATATCGTAAATAAAAAAATTTTCATTTCTGCATTTTCTATATTCATAAAAACAAAAACGCATTGCCGCGAGCTTTTAAATTTTCACTTTGTATCCTTTCAAAGAATTT